CTAATTCTGAACTAGAGTTAGTTCAAAACTACGACGCTTCAAAAAAAAAAGGATCGTAAAAAACTTTCCATTATTACCGACGAAAAAGAAAAGAAAAACTTCACTGGCCTTGCGCCCTTGGTGTATCATAGCCCAGCTGCTACTGTGAGCCATATTACTACTAGTAGCTCCTAGAATATCTGTTTGACTCTTCAAAGCAGCGTTTTATTTTGGAAATTATCATAGTAGTACTCCTACACCCTTTTTCCCATTTTATTTATTTTTGATAAACAACCACCATGCACCTTGTTATATTTCCTTTTCCTCCATCTTCTCTCCCCCTCTCAGTTTCTCTCTCACACACAGCTCTCTCTCTCTCTCTCCTTCTCTCCCTCTCTCAAATACTCCCCATGCCCATCGCCGTCCTCCTTTGAAGAAGCCAATGGCCAGCAATGGCATGGCGTCCTCTCCCTCCGCCTTCTTCCCTCCGAATTTCCTCCTCCACATGCAGCAAGCACCACCGCAGCATGACCCCCAAGAACACCACCAGCAGCACCACCACCACCACCATGAGCACCACCTCCCTCCTCCCCATCCCCAGCACAACCCCTTCCTCCCCTCCCCCCAATGCCCCTCCCTCCAGGACTTCCGTGGCGGTAGGCACATCCATAACTTCATGCCTTGTCAGTTAATTCGCCACCCTCGCACGGATCGTGCACGCAATGCGCCGGTAACGGAGCCGATCCAGGTCTTTACTAACATGTTGTACCTACGTGTGCTGCAGGTCTGTCGCCAATGCTGGGGAAGCGCCCGGCGATGTACGGGGGCGGCGGCGACGGGGGCTGCGGCGGCGACGAGGTGACCGGCGGAGGCGCGAACGAGGAGGAGACGTCGGACGACGGGTCGCAGCTGGGCGGCGAGAAGAAGCGGCGGCTGAACGTGGAGCAGGTGCGGACGCTGGAGAAGAACTTCGAGGTGGCCAACAAGCTGGAGCCGGAGCGCAAGATGCAGCTGGCCCGCGCGCTGGGGCTGCAGCCGCGGCAGGTGGCCATCTGGTTCCAGAACCGCCGCGCCCGGTGGAAGACAAAGCAGCTGGAGAAGGACTACGACGTGCTCAAGCGCCAGTTCGACGCCGTCAAGGCCGAGAACGACGCCCTCCTCTCCCACAACAAGAAGCTCCAGTCCGAGGTACTCCTACGTAGTACACATGTACCAGTACCTACCTACTGTAGTAAGTAGACCACAATGCAAATTAGTGTAGTCAATTCAGTCCGGCAACGGCGGGCATCTGGCCGTCGCCGGCCGGCGGCCGGCCGCGGTAGCAGCAGCACGCCGCTCGCCTAGATCTGCGCGCGCGAGTGACGATCTGGGGGGCAGGGGCGCCCGCCGTTCGGTTGCGCTTTCTCGGGGCGGCCTCCCGGGCTCAATGATTGGTTGGTGATGTCCGGCTCGGATCCATGTGGGTTTCAGTGCTTGCAGAAAGGTTGTTGGAACCGGCGCCCATGCCCACGCGCTGCTGCCCTGCCTTTCCATCCACACCTGCGAAATCGTCATCGTTGAGCTGAGCAGGCACAGTAGCTTTTTGGAAAGGGGCAGCAGAATATGGCAGCGTCCGCAGATAGATGCTCGTGGTCATGGCCATGGCCATGCTGCGGCGAGTCGCTGTTCGTTTCTCTGAGCGAGCCTTTTGAGGAGGATCGATCGATCGATCGCAGTGGAGTCAATGGCTTCATCATCACCATCATCCCGGTCGCGGCATCTCTGTGTGCGACTGCCATGGTCGCAGAGACGTACATGTGTGCCTTTTCACCGCGATCAGATTTGCAATTATGTGTGGGCCGACCCGGAAACACCATTAGTACCCGTATGATTAGGTGCGCATGTGCTGGTCAGCAAGCGTAGCTTTGCTTTCTCCTTGTTGCTAGTACACCACTAGCACTCAGACTTCATAACATTCAGGCAGAAACAGATGCATGATTCACTGCTGAGCTTCTGCATGAACTACCAATGTGAAATTCTAGTAAGCTGCCATGCTTGCATTGCGTACTGGTACTAGCTACCAAGATGGATTCGATTGTTCAATGCTGATATATACTGCTGTATGCTGATCGATGCAGATACTGGGACTGAAGGGATGCAGGGAGGCGGCGTCGGAGCTGATCAACCTCAACAAGGAGACGGAGGCGTCCTGCAGCAACCGCAGCGAGAACAGCTCCGAGATCAACCTCGACATCTCGCGCACGCCGCCGTCCGACGGCCCCATGGACGCTCCGCCCTCGCACCAGCAGGGCGGCGGGGGCGGGGGCATGATCCCCTTCTACCCCTCCGTCGCGCGCCCCGCGGGCGTCGACATCGACCATCTCCTCCACGCCTCCGTCCCCAAGATGGAGCACCACCACGGCGGCCCCGACACGCCCAGCTTCGGCAACCTGCTGTGCGGCGTCGACGAGCCGCCGCCGTTCTGGCCGTGGGCGGATCACCAGCAGTTCAACTGATCGCCCGGTCGGTCGATCGGGACGATATATATCTTTGTTGCAGTCAATGACGTCTGCTTTGCTTGCATGGTCAGCAATGAGCGTGCATAAATATTCGATGCGTTTGGATTCTTGATGAGGACGTACGTACGGTGGAGACGGTTGTACATGCATGTTTGATGAGAGGCAAGTTCAGTTCATCCATGAGGTACCTACTGAAGACGATGGTGATGCGATTTGAGTCATGGATCGATCGAGTTGATGATGAATAGTGGGGCTACGTGTAGGGGAATAAGTCCGGTGTGTGTGAAGCGTGTGTAGGTAGATTTTGGAGTTGAATAGTACCTACCTTTGGTATTCTTATTATTTTTTCTTGTTTTTTCATTTTTCCTCTTCCTTTTGTTCCCATACATAAATTTGTGAATTGTGAGGCGGTGTTGATCCGTTGTTGTATAGGTTAATGGTGCATGTGGTGCTTATTCCCCCTATTTATATATGGATTATGTGAAGACTGTGACATACTTAGTGTGTGGTTGCATCACTTGCCCGAGAGGCCGAGATTAACACATGCCTTGTGTAAAAGTTGCTTACTATTCTCCATTGTTCGACATTTTATCATACAAACGTCTACACGGCAATACATTTTCCAAAGGACTACATATGATTGAAATTTTCAGAAAATATTAGCTACTTTGCGCCCACCATTAAAGTACATTTGCACAAGTTTATTGGAGATGCGAAATTTCAAAACAATTTAAATTACAAAACTAAGAAAATAATGGGAAAAAAACGTTTGTAGAACTCCAAAACAATGAATGTAACACAATCGGGCAGTGTAGTGTATGAAACTTTCAGAAAATCAGACAAGTTCGGGTTTTGACAACTCAGTTTCACGGGAGGTACTTTTTTTTGCGGGGGTTCTTGGAAGGTATCATCTCTGTCTCAAGAAGTAAGACGTTTTCTGACATTATGATAGCGTTAAAAAAAGTCTTACATTTTAAGACAGAGGGAGTATTTAGTTGGATGAACATGTGCAAGGATATTACTGTACTTGGATGAATACATGCAGGGATCATCGATCTAGCCTTATTTAGACAGTGCAGCTAGTTTCCACTGTTATGCTAAGCAGCGACGCAGATGCGTGTCATTAAATTAACTTGCTCCTACTCCTACAATGGAAGGCAGTTAAGGGCATTGAAAAAGGAACATAAGAGCGTGGCCATGGCGCACCAGCAACATTTGGACAGTTATGTCCTGCCGGGGCCCTTTTCCTTTTTCAAGCTGTCGCACGCCGCATGTCGAGCTCGCGAAGAGGTCCAACTTTTGCGGCATACTACCAGTGAATTTTAATTGGTCTCGCGCGCGGCAAAAAACCCGAGAGAATGAGTTCAGATGCACACTAGCTGTGACCTCCGAATTACTCCTACGTATACGTATCATCTGAATTCTCATAGCACACGAAAGCTTCCAGATATATAATCCTGGTGCCAGGCACGTAGCACGTACGTTCCGTAGCACTGCATATATGATGGGAGGTAAAAAAACATAATAATGCATGCAATGTACTAGGAGGATATGGATTTTCTGTAGTAGTAGTAGTACGTATGGTATGTAGTAGTTGGTTAAATAGTGGATCGGAATATTCAGCCCTAGCTACAGAGACGCTGTGTCTTGGTGCATCATGTTTTTTTTGCTTTTCTACCTCGATGATCCGCCTGGATCGGCCTCGCTCCGCATCGCTGGCTGCTACAGTTGACCGAGCCGCGGTGTTGCTAGTCTGCCTGTCTGAAAATGATTGGCGAGGTGCATGGCATGGGAACAGGGGCACGCATGTACGTGCCCAATCAATGCCAGCGGAGCGGAGCGGGGTGAAAAACGTTGCGCAATCCCTCTCCCTACCCGCGTCAATGTGCTCACGACACATGGCCAATTCACAGATACGTCGAATCCTGTATGCATCTCCGTGCGTCGACAGGCAACCGGCCGGGTGAGAACTCATACTACAACCAAACCTGCAAATCTTACTGCTCTTTTGCTGCTGGAGTATAGTAAAAAAACGAGTTAGCGAGAGAGGGGGCAAGTGTGTATGCGTTGCATTGGCAAGGGCCAAGGGCGGGTCGCGTCGTGGCCAGCTCTACGCCTCATGGACGGGACGGACGGACGGGGAGAGAAGAAGAAGAAGAGCAACAAGCCCTTGTGGGTTGATCAGCGGTGGCGGGTCCGGGCCGGGCGCACACAGTGACGGCCGATCCCATGCAGAAAAACCAAAGGACCGTGGCCGGGCCGGGCCCCGTACCCCTCTGCCCCGCGGGTACGTCGCGGCAGAGAAACCACGGACCCTTGTTCTCGACGTCACCGGCCCAAGCACATGCTTCAGCCCTCGCCATCGCCATCGCCATGCATCTTCTACTTACACATTCCGACCGCTGTGAATTCCACGTCCATTGTATGCATTCAGTCAGGCTCCGGTCCGGCATATTTCATGTCGAGGTTCCGTCCCTTCGCGCGTGAAATTTCGTAAGGAGAGGGAGAGACGTACGCGGCCAGGAGAGGAGGCGGATGGTGACCGGGCGAGTAGGGACTGGACTGTCACCGTCCGGGTGCACATACGAGATGCTGTCGCGATGGGTTCGGCGAGGACGACGAGGCAGCAGCGGGTGGACGGTAGCGGCGCATGGCATAGCATATATAGTCCAAGCTGTTGCATCGGTTCAGTGCTCTTTCCAGAGGGAGGGGCACGCACGCATGGCCGGGCGCATGTGGAGGCACAGTACCACCACTGCCCATGCGTCCTTTGCCATGCCCCAGCTGTGCCGCTAGCAGCCACACCACGGATCGGTATCGGCCGATCGATCCGTCCACGCATGCATGCAGAAATGTGCTAGCTAGCTAGATCGGTCGGCCTCGATGCCGACGGGTGGTCCGACCCGGCTCGGCTCGGTCGACGCTGCGTTTCGTAGTACCGCGCGAGGGTTCCAACTCGTATACATCCATGATCCATCCTCTACACGTTCAGTAAGAGGAATCTACTCCCTCGTAAAAAAGGGGTAAGACAAATCTACTGTGCTGCAAGCCAGGGTGCACGTGAGACTCGTGCCGCCATTTTTCGGTCTGGAATTTCGAAGGTAAATAATGGGCATCCAATCCACCGTGCATGTTTATCCTACTCCGTTGGAGATGGATTTCGCCGGCGTCACTAGTTTAACCGGCCGGAGGGAATAGGAATAGGAATATCGTATGCGCACCAGTGCATGCATGCATGTGGGGTGTCTGACGGATGGCATAGAAAATTCAGCGAGGGACGCGGGCGCTGTTGGGCGCACATGAAAACGGCGGCTAAAGTCAGCCCGCCACGGCGTTTAAGATTAAGAATTGCGACGCCCATCCGTCCATCATCGCTCACCAGGTTCCGATTCCGACGCGCGGACGGGTTTCTTCAAGTCAAGTGGATCGATCGCCCCCGGGAATAAAAGGAAGGAGGAGATTCACGGGCATGTGCCGCCAACTGCCCCAACCGATAGCACGCCGCGTCTGGTGTGCGCGGGGCGGAGGAGGAAGAAAGACGATACGAAATCCGTAGTTAATTCGAATTCTAGATTTCGGTGCATGTGTGCGATGCGCGCGCCTGGCATATTCCGGGAGCTTTCGGGTCTGGTTTGTTCGTGGCGCTGGTGCCGGAGGTGGGAAGGAAGGGGCCGAGGGGCGGCGACAGGTCACAGGTGCGACGCACATGGCGTGTAGGGGCGAGGTGTCGCCTCGTCTGTCCGCTTGTGTCTGCGCCTGCGATCGCTGCACGATGCGGAGACGCATTTGCATACTCCGTCCATACAGTCCACAGCTCCGGAGGAAAAAGGGCCAGCTCCCGGCCGAATGAATCGTGAGGAATCGGTCCGTGTGTGCTGCAAGAGACAACGCGTCTGCGGCTGAGGCTTGGTCTGGTGGTCCAGGGGGAAGTTTTTCCTGCAGATCTCTGTGTGCCGATCGTGATTCCTCATCGGCAGGGCACTGACATTGTGTTGAAGCTGGTTAATCTTCTGTCAGGCAATGATTCGTCCGATGGCACGCCACGTACTCCGTATCTCCATCCTCCTGCTTGAGGGGGTGTCTGCGGTGAGTAGAGATGATACCGTACTTTAGGACTGAGCACGTGACGGAGTAAAAGATTGAACGTAGCAGAAAGGGTAGAATCAGCGCGGGGATCGAGGAGATCCCATCATTTTAGACGACCTATTCTCTGATGGCCCAGTAGCCCTGCTGCAGCTGAAAGTTATGTTTCGGTTTCTTCTGTAGGGTTCTTTCTTAACGGTGGTGGTCAGCTCATAATGATTTCTCTTTCGTTCTACGAGAAATTTCCATCATGTTCACATGGCAACCTGAATAAATCAGCTGCCATGTCAGTCCATGAGCAAAAGCCCACTATTGCATCACAACAGTGTCAGCCTTCTTGTTTTCCTTTCCCCCACTGGGATCCACCATGAACAAAGCCCACCATTAAGGGCTTGTTTGGAACTGCTCCGCTTCATCAAAATTAGTTTCAGTTCATAAAATTCACTTTGGAGCAGTTTCATACAGTGTTGTAGCACTACCAAAGAGAGTGTTTGGCTTCCATCTAGCTCCAGCTTCAGAAATTGTCAATTTGGCTGAAAGGATCTATTTGATTGGATGAGGAGGGAGAAACGAAGGGGTATCCACTTACTGGTGGCAGTGGTAGGTAATTTTCCCCCAACTCCAGCTTCTAAAGTTTTTTGGAGCACCCCGTGAAGAGCTTCACAAAAAACTGGGGGTTGTACCCTAGATTCTTTTTTTTTGCAGAGCGGCATATCATGGAGCTACCCCGTTTGACTTGTATTTTTTGGAGCGGAGCTGAATTTGAAGGAGCAGAACAGTCCCAAACAGGCTCTAAGGGCGTGGGAACGCGACGATCACTCGTTTTATGTGAGGCATTAGCGCGGCTCGCCTACAGGAAGCTAGTTCTGAGCTGGCCCAATAGACACGTGCGGTCGTCATAGAAAATTTTCTAC